ACTACTGCAAGAAGTAATTAGCTTTCTGCAGCACTGTGGTTCAATTTTGGTCCATTCTTCTCGGCAAACATCATTCAATTCCACAAAGTTACGAGGGTCCCTCTGATGGACTTGCAATTTCAAAATTCACGAATTTTCAAAGGCATTTGTTTTGCCTGTATGTTTGGGGTCTTCTCACCAGATTCAATTTCATTGCAAATTAGATTAAATTCTCCTCTAATATCTCCCAGGACATCAGTTCATTCATGTTTCCTTCAATGTTGTGTAACAGCCGAAAATTGCTTGCAGAAAAGCAGCTCCATTTACAGTGGCAGATCTATACAATTTTACTAGGGGTAGTAGGGGGGTTTCGGCAGTGTGGCAAAAGTTGGAGAGAGGTTGGACAGTTGTTCTGATAGCTAAACTATTAAAGTCAAAGCAGGACGTATGCTCGGTGAATGTGTGACCCCAGGGAGTGGCAAAGAGAAGCAAAACAAGCGAAACAACTTCCCTATTAAAGGTGCAAATACCTGCCCCACTGTGAAGTGGAAGTCAACGTCATAGCAGAAATGTTTGGGTGGCATCTAGGGTGGCCACTCAGATTTCAGGAAAGGCACCCCTTTAAAACCATGCAAGGCCATATCATGATGCTCCCGCCTTCATGCTTCACTGTGGGTGTTTGGTACATTGTTCTAAAAGAGTTCTGTTTTGTCTGAATGCTTGTGTGCAAACTTTAGACTGTTGTTTCTTCGACTTTCAGGCTGTCCTGCAACTCTTTTTGAGTGACTGCTGGCTTCTCTCTTACCTTCCTTATTATTAGTCTAAGAGTATGTTGTGAAACCAGTTGTCCTGACGGGGATGTGATGGAGAAACTGATATGTATGATTCTTTAAAGAACATTTTTAAAAATGGTTCTATATACCACCAAAAAGGGTTCTTCTGCTATTGGTACAAGTCAAAGAACATTATTTTGGTTCTATATACTAGGGGTGTAATGATGCTCCAAATCCACGGTTTGGTTCAGACATCAATTTTTGAGCCATGGTTTGGTTCGTAGCCCCTTTTATGGGGGGTGGGAGTGAATAAGAAAAAATGGGTAAAAAAGTTCTGGGTTTTATTAAATCACCAACAATTGGAACACGAAAGAGAAGTGGCATTGGGTTGGAGGTTGGGGGGCAGGTTATCAACACGAGACCGTGGACGTTTGTATCGTGGTTTTGGTACCGGTTTCAGAATTATTACATCCCTACTATATACCATGGCACTACAACAAAAACCTAGTAGATATGTCAAGAAATACGGTGCATAGTGTAATAGCAATGTTACAGTAACCTTATAAACATTAACATTACATCACTGTTATTACAAAACCTTTAAACTCCAAAACAGTAACAGGAGAAAAACACTATTAACTTTTAATGTAAGTTAATGCAATGATATTTTTTCCAAGTCATTTTGAACCTCTCCTGTTGGTCCATTCATTATATAATTTTAACAGAGCATAGAGGTCAGCTGCTGATTCTAAATCATGTACAAAATAGGGATACAAGGTTTTGGACAGTGATAATGTATAGCCTGTGTAAGGTATAAACATGGGTATGCTGAATTCTGATAGTATTCCTCCAAACACATGGCCTCAACTGTCAATCATGGATTGAAATCTGTAAGAGGCTCATGTTATTTCAGCCATGTATGCATGTGAGGAAGGCAGCAGTGTTTAATAATTCAGTGGCTGTCATTCAGAGCAGGCGTCAGCCATTTTGCCTCCAGTTCATTGAGGAGGACGCTTTGTTCCTGCTGCTGCTGCTGCTGCTGCTGCAAATCCTTCACATACACGCTCACCTTCACACACGCTCATCATTACACAGCAGTACACAACACTCACCTTTACAATGCTTATAATGTCATGACACTAACAGTACTTATACCATCAACACTCATCTTCACAATAATGATATCAATAATTTAATTGCAGGATAAAACATAATACTAGATACTACTATGATAGTAAGAGTAGTATAATATACAATGGGATAAAATACCACTATACACTAGTATAACCTATACTAGGTCAATACATACTATAAAATGTGTGCATACTAATACACTAGGCCTGTAATAGATGCATACAATATACTTCAATAGAACAATAGTATACTATGAAGTACTTGTTTCCTAGTATAATATACATTATTATAATAATACTACACTATAAAGTACTAGTGTGCTGGAATAACATTCAAGGACTAGTATTGTATACAGTACTAGTGGTAGTAGTATAATGTACAATGGCATAATACTAGTATACTATAAAGTGCTAGTATGCTAGTATAATACACTGTTATAGTGTACTAGGCATATGATACCTAAGTATAATATACACTAATATATTAGCAGTACACTACCAAGTACAAGTATATTATTATAATGCAATGTATAATAGTAGTATACTGTACTATGTAAAGGTCCTAGGCATGTAAGGATATAGTTTAAAACCATGCAACATTAGAATAAGTGCAAGCACACATTAACCCCTTAAAAACCCGGGTTTATTACATAAACATACGTATTACATAATAATATAAATAAGCTATTCTTAGGTTATAGAAGTGTGTTATAAAATCTTAGGCCTGCTGGTGGGCCCTGGCCATTTAAGGGATTAATGCAGTAAAATAACAAATTTGCTTGTTAGAAAATATCTTATATTTCATGATACTTTGTGCCTAAAACCATTGTAAAGTATTGTAGTAAAAGTTTAAAATGGACTAGTGTAATAATACTAATATACTATAAAGTAGTATAGTACAGACTAATATAATACTACTATTTTAAAGAGTACTAGCATACTAGTTTTATACTATATTGCACTAGTACAATGTACTATAATGTACTATTACGATATACATCAGTATAATAGTAAAAAAGTACAGTACTTTTTTATAGTACTGGAATAATATATAATAATACTAAATACTATATAATAATATTATCACTTAAGGAAAAAAACATACACAGTGCTCTTTGCAGTGCTGACACTAGTACTGCCTTTGCTGAAATCTCTGTGGCATTTTGCTTTGTATTACTTACATCAATGCTCCTAATAGCAAAAAACAAACATTAATGACGACGGCTTCTCTGACCATCACTAGAATGATTAATTGAACCTGCTGCTCATGCTGACATTTATATAAAACCACATTCCTGATATTAACCAACCAGCATAATTACAGACAAAGCAACTGCTTATCATGGCAACTCAGTGTCATGTTATTATAATCACCAAATGTCACAAAACTAATGATACCAACAATGATAATAATACGAACATTGTAACCAACAATCTTCACAACAGTGATATTAACCTCTTTAGATCAGTGCACAGAACTCTTATGAATAAAAACATATGCAGAGTCATTTGAACGCTGTCAATGCCAATAATAGTTAACACTTCTTAATAATAATAACCACAAAAGCTTCTCTGATCATCACAAGTATGAATAACTGCATATGATGTTTGTATAAAACCACGTTTCTGACACTAACCAACCACAAAGCATCTGCTTATTATAGCAATATGCTCTCAATGTTATAAAATGTATAATAATACTGACAGTTATCTATTGCAAACCCAGATCTTAAGAACAGTGGTATTCATATCATTACAACAATGCACAATGCTTTTGTGAATAAAAACAAATGCATTCACACACTGTAAATGCTAATAACAATGAATACTGTTAACAATATTAACAATAAACGCTAATGACAATGACCAAAGCTTCTCTTTCACCACAAGCGTAAATAATTGCACCTGCTGCTCATGCTGACACTTACATAAAACCATGTTACTGATAATAAGCAACCATAATAATTACGCAGACAAAGCAACCGCCTATTATAGCTGTAAAGGTATCCATTAACACAGATGCTAATTGGTGCATATTGAGCATTCTTATTAATGGAGGAGGACAACGAGGCGGATGTGACAGTGACCTGGGACGAATATCGATCGGGAAGCTTCTCTGGGAGGTGTGAGCGAGATGGTGGTTGGTATTCGGTGAGTGAGCTGCATGGAGGGAGGGGTGCTTGCCAGCAGCAGCAGTGGAGGTTATGCAATCAGAGCAACACACTGTGACTGCAGCAGCCGTGCATGGGCAGCATGGAGCCACACACATACAGGTCTGTCTTGGTCTCAGCTGCATGTCAATCAATGCATGTGGACAAGATGCCCGCACAGATAGCACGAGTCGTTCATGGAATTTGTGTTCCTCATTCCTTAGTGCCCTACTGGCACATGACTGTGTGGCACCTGCACTATAATAGACATACAAACACAATGTCACGCACCCACATTCAAAACACTGTTTAGTCTCCTCCATGTAAGTGTATACAAACCTGTGTGTCTGACGAAAAGCTTTGTAAAGGCTTGTGCTTGTCAGTTCATTTATAGACCACATACACATGTGTTTTTGTTGCATTTCATATATTTTTTTGCATAATCTGAAAACAGCTGCTCTTTACACTGAAGTAAAATTAAATAATTACTGAAAATGATCAAATTCCATTACATTCTCTCTCTCTCTCTCTCTCTCTCTCTCTCTCTCTCTATATATATATATATATATATATATATATATATACATATATTTGTATATATGCATATAGATAGATAGATGATAGATAGATAGATACAGCCACATAGAACACTACCACAAACATTCAGAGCAGTGGATGATAACGTATATATATATATATATATATATATATATATATATATAGATAGATAGATAGATAGATAGATAGAGCAGCGTACATACACCCACAGACACAAAGCTCAAGTTAGCTTCTTATTCTTCTCTTATTCGAATTTTCAGTTCCACCTTAAATGGCGCAGGTGGCTGAATGTAACGGTAGGCGCCAGAATGTAACTGCTGCACTATTTAAGGTGGAACGGAAAATTCCAGCAAGAAGCTGGCGAACAGGAACTCAAATTCAGTCTCGTCCAAAACACTCAGTCTTACCTGTGCATGTACAACAGTCAGTTCCAGTGATGATGATGATGAAGATGATGATGCTGATCCATGTATTCGTTGTGATGAAGCCTCAGAGTCACGTTCACTCGTCCGTATTGTTTCAGCTGTGGACGGAGGGATGAGAGAGAAAGCATCCCTTCCTCTGAGAGGAGAAGGAGAGAAGGGTGGAGGAGGGGAAAGATTGAGGGATGCGTCGTCACGGCGACAAGAATGATGGAGAAGGATGTGGTGGGCGAGCAGTTCTCCTTCTGTTCCGCCTTTTCTCCTCTTTCTCACCACTCTCCTCGTCCACTCTGCCGTCCTCTGACCATCTCTCTTTCCGACAGTTCACTCCTCTCCTTCTGTCTGCTCATTCCTCCCCCCCACCTCTCTCTCTCTCTTTCTCTCTCTCCCTCTTTTACATGCTTCTCTTCGTTCCCTCCCTCCTTTCTCTCTCTCAGCACCAGAGCATCTGCAGTCTGCATTTACTTCTCAGAAAATGTTTATCTGTCTCTCTCTGTCCCTCTATCACTCACTCTTTATCTCTATCACCCTCTTCCCTCTCTTCCTCTCCCTACCACTTACTCTCTCGCTGTCTTTCTCAACCGATCCCTTCTCTGCCTCTCGATCACTTACTCTTTATCACACTCTCTCAATCTATATCTGGCACCTTCTCTCTCTCTTGACACTATGTCTGTAACTCTCTCACCCTTTCTCTCTGTCTCTCTACCTTTTACTTTATATCTTACCCTCTCTCTCTCTCTCTCTCTCTCTCTCTCTCTCTCTCTCTCTCTCTCTCTCTCGCTCTCTCTCTCTCGTGAATGCTTCTCTGTGCTTCTCACCCCCCCTCGCCCGTGTGTGTGTGTGTGTGTGTAGAGCTCTGTCTCTGTATACTTTACTCATTTACTCTCTCTATCTCTCTCGTTTTTACCCTCCCCTTCATTTTTTGCGCTCCCTCCGCCTCTCTCTCCCTCTCGCTCTCTCAGTTTCTTTTCACACTCCCTCCTCCTCATATCTCTTTCTTCCTCCTCATCTCTCTCTCTCTCTCTCTCTCTCTCTCTCTTCCTCTCTCTGCACTCTGCAGTCTCCGCTGCAGTGCCTCTGCATACTGCATCACGTTTTCTCATCGCCAGTGAAAAATCCCAGCCAATCAGAATCCAGCTCGGCTTCCCCCTCCCCCTCACACACACACACACACACGCACGCACGCACGCACACACACACACACACACACACATACACATGCATTTTTTCAGAGCTTCCATTCATTCCGAATGACTAAGGACCATCTTCCTTTGTTGTGATGCTCACAGTAGCTCAGCCCCCACAAACACACAAACACAGGAGGTAAACACATACATCAAAAGCAGGTCAAACACTTAAACATCTGCTCTACAGAATACTGCACAGAAAAACCTCCATACACACCGAACCTGTTTAGGGACACATATCGTTACAAATAGATTTTGCATAGATTGAAAATGAAAAATCTTTTTCATTGGATTAAAATTTTACAATAAATGAACCGACAGCAATGGTGCACAATTACATGGAATAAATCTCACTACATTAACTTACATTAAAAGCTAAAAATGCATTTTCTTTCTCCTGTAGAGTTTCCATTTTGGGGATATGACATTTTGTTCCGACAGTATCGATATACAGTACAGTGCAAAAACATCATTAGAAATAGATAGAAATAAAAATTACATTATATATTGGAACAAAACCTTTTATCTCCATTTCCCTCATCTCTATTTTATTTTATTTTATTTAACATAATTTCAAAATGCCAGCTGCCATGTACACTGTGTCAAATAAAATCTTGCTGCACTTACTTACATTGAACATCAAAAATACTTTTCTTCTATAAAGTTCCTTTTTTTTGAAGATCATATCTCAAAAAAATGTGATCAATGTAATGTGCTAAATTCTCTGGCTCTTCAAACCTTGTGCTAATGCTCAACAACCTCTAAGCAGCTGGCTGAGGATCTAAAAAATAAAAAATGAAACTGATTGATGTTGACAAAGCAGGAGATCATATCAAATCACTTCAAGCTCACAATTTCCACTGTCCAAAATGTCATATAGAAATGGCAGACAAGTCAAGGCAAGATCTGAAAGACCAAGAACACTGTCAGGAAGAACTGCTTATATGCTTACCAGAAAGGCAAAGCAAAACCCCTGTATGACAGCAAAGAACCTGCAGGAAGGTTTAGCTGACACAGGAGTAGTACACCATTCTGCTGTGTAGCATTGCTTGCACAAACATGTTGTACATGGAAGAGTCTCTGGAAGGAAACCTCCTCACAAAAGCCAATGTCTGAAGTCTGCAGAGCCGGTCAGTCCTATATGCTCATTACACATGATGAATAGGGCCCTGCAAATTATACAAGGACCCGCATCTCCCTCGTGTCAGGGATGAGCAGATGAAGCTGAACTATCCATCGGGTCACGAAAAAGCAAAAAAGAAACACAATAAAAGAGAAATTTCAGGAACAGCAATCAGGTACACTTGTGTTCTCTACTCTCCAAGTTTAATAACAGAAATAACAATAACCTTTAATAAATGAAAGTTGATGTACTAGCTGGGCAGTGTATCTCTCCAATCCAGGGGTCAGCAACCAAAATGTTAAGAAGAGCCATTTTGGCCTTTCAACAAAAATCAAACCACCTTGGGAGCCACAACATTTTCTGTCCATTTTATTGAAGTAAAATTTTACTATCTTGGCTGAAAGTGTGTCTTAATATGTGCTAATGTCCTGGTATAGACTAAAAAATGTAATATGAACAAAAAAACAGACTTACTTTGCTCTGCTTTAAGCTTTAGCTCAGCCATCTCTGGCAGGAACCTTTTTTGCCAAAGTGGAATAATTTCTTGTAACTTAACGTTCAATTTTTACAAGGTTGAAGTCAGCTTCTCATTCACCAGCTTCTTCTTCAAATTTTCCCATCCCACCTTAAATGGTGCCTGAGGCGTCAGAACTCCTCCAACATTTAAGGTGGAAAAGGAAAATTCGAACAAGAGGCGGGCGAGTGAGAAGTTGACTTCAGCTTTCGCAACTTTTTAGTGTTTCTCATTGAAGATTAAATGTATTTAAAAAATAGCGAAGTGCTTATGAATGCAAATAAGTCCAATAAGTCCATTCGTCTCTAAATTATCAATGTTTGTCTTGTTCGGACTCTGTGGAGTCCAATCCAAACAGCATATGGGTGTGATGTCTCACTCCTCATAGGAGCTCATCATTTTAAAACAAGACAGTGATGATTTAGTCTCTCAGTCAGGGTTTAGTTACAACTCTGGACTAATGCAAAATGGAAAGTAATGGATTGACGTTGATTATTGATTAAATATCAAATTTAAAATGTTGATTAGCTGGACATTCTGGGCATTATGGACACATATCTCTCAGTAAATAATAACCATCAAATATTCAGTATTTTATGTTTGAAAATGTATGAAAGCAAATCTGGGGGAGCCAGTTTAAATGGGCCTGATGCAGCTGATAATAGTATTATTCTAATTGTTCAGGTATTATGTTTCAGTTCATCAGTAGAGGAGTAATACCTGAGATGGAGCAAACTAGTTTAAAGGAGGGAGGATTGTAGTGGGAGCACTGGGGTGTCAGGTGTCACTGTGTAGCAGTTACAAATGGTTTACATGGCTCACAGGTCAGGCAGAAGGACCCCTTTGTAGAGGGGAGGTCAAAACTAGCTCTGGAAGTATGCAAAACATTGGGACAAGCCAGAGGCATTTTGGAAAACAAGTGCTGTGAACTAATGAATTAAAATATAAGTCTTTAGCCAAAAGGAGCAGCATTTGACGAAAAGGACAATGATCCAAACAGGACAACGTCCAAAACATCTCAAAATCCACCATGAACTGCTTCATAAAACGCAAGCTGAAGCTTTTGCAATGGTCCTTACAGTGCCCTGACATGCTGTAGCAAATTGCCCATTAGTGTCACCATGTATTGATACACCCTTACTAAATGTTCATTTGTGTTCTTTTACCGATACTTTAGCAAAACAGTAACTAAATAAGAGCATGCCAATAAAGTGAAATTAACTAAACTGAATTGAAAAAATGAATAGAAAATGGACAGTTAGAGTTTATGAGTATGGAATGAAATTTCTCATTTCTGTGCAGCTAAGAAATCCACAGATGAATCCTCAATGTCCGAGTGTCCGTTTCTAAACCCGTGCACTGTCCAGAGCCTCTGTTACATAACAGTAGGATTTTAATCAGTTTTGGATGTGCTCAGATCAACATGTTGATCTATAGATAATCTGCAGCACTGAGGTGGAGGGGGGTTACTACTCAGACTACACACACACGCACTCTCATGTATGGATGTACACATAAAAACAAGTCTATTTAACCTGTATACATAAACAGTACACAGTATTTAGAGACCCGCCTTCATTTGTTTAACTTTCAAAACAGACGTTGTTATTCACTTTTCAGGAGTTTCTGAGGTGATTAGATATAAAATAATCCACTTGCATAAGAAAGGAGAGAATCATAACTGGAGTTCAAAACTGACTAAAAGCTACAGAGAAAATGGGGCTCCTAACAAACCATCAACCATCGTCTCCATCAGATAAACTACACTTAAAGCTTTCATCTTTGAGAGAGAGGAGAAAATCAAGCTGCTTCAGATCTGAAAACTTTCACAGGTGTTTCTGTCCATCCTTCCACTGTGAGAAGACAACTCAGCGCTATGGGTCTAAAAGGATGTGTAGCTGTCAAGAAGCCTCACTGACAAAAGGAGACACATCAAACAAAGAAGCTGAACAATGGACTGACCACCCCAGGGTCCAGACCTCAACATCACTGGATGTGTTTGGGATTACTTGGATCGGAAAATTTGGGATTACTTGGAGCAGAAAATGTAAAACCAACTTCTAAGACTATATATATATATATATATATATATATATATATATATATATATATATATATATATATATATATATATTTGTTCTTCTGTAAAGGGTAAATACCTCATATGGTAAATACCAGCATATGTTTTAAATGCACATTTACTGTTTATTTGCCGAACTTAGCAATACAAACATTAAATGTTGCCTGTGTATGAGTTATGGCATTTTTTCGATGTTATGTGTTTTCCCAATATGTTAAACTTAGCAAATAAAAACAAACTGTCACTGAAAATTGTCAGAAGAAATGTTTAAGAAATGTTTTTATTATTTAAGTGTGTTCTCTGTAGAGGACGTGTTAACTTATTTTCAATTAGTAAATCAACTACACAGTGTGCACTGTGTTCTAGAATAAAGAGGAAACTCAGAATACATGTGTAGGTTCACTGGTGGTTTTGGATAGTAAATGAAATGTCTATATTTGTGTTGTAGAAATTGCGACCCCTGCTTCCTGTCACCAACACTGTTTTCATCATCCTGGGGGATTTGACTCCTACACACACACACACACACACACACACACACACAGATTCTCACAGATGCACAGGCATGTGGAGACAGACACAGACAGCCATTCATCCTTCATATTACAGAAGAGCTCAGTGAACTGAATTACGCTTTCAGCACACACATCACGTGACGGGATTAGAAAATGCAATCTTTAAATTATCAGCATACATAGGCTTGGATATTATTTGTATTATCAGTATATATAGTATTGCATATTTTCAATATCATTAGCGTATATAGTATTGGATATTGTTGATCTTATTAGCACATATTATCTTTTATATTATTCATATTAT